ACCTTTTATGGTATGCCCAATGGAAGAGTGAGTCTTGATACTGAATTTTCTGGACACGCTACCTGTCATAGCTAACAATATCAGACTTTGGACATGGAAGGATCCAGTCCTTTAAAAACTGAAACAATTGGTATTAATGGGAGAAACCAAAGGGCCATCGCAGCTAGAATTAAAATCTCTTTGGACCTACAGGGTCCAGCTCACAGTAGAGGACGGCACAGTGTTAGGGAGAGGGAGAGCGAGAGCAATAGCAATTGTCCCAAGCCAAGGTTGTTGTCAAATATTTGTTGAACTCAACCAGAGCTAACCATGGGTCTCCAAAACGAAGCTGCTCGCAAGGAGCACTGTCTGGTGGCCAGGCTTGGATGCAGACATAGCCATGTTGGTGGGACAGTGCTCAGGTCAACAAGGACAAAAATTACCGCCAGCAGCCCCCTCACATCTACGTTAATGATCGGGGAAACCTTGGACTCGGTTGCATGTCGACTATGGGGATCCTTTCATGGTTTGATGCTTTTAATCACTGTAGATGCCCGTCAAAGTGGTTGGACGTACACAGAGACGATTCAACAAACGCTGGAGCGTCAATAGAAAAATTGGCACATCTTTTGTGACACACAGAGTCTTGGAGTCATTGGTCACAAGTAATGGGCCGTCATTTACCAGCAGAGACTTTAACTAAAGTTGAATGGGATTTGGCATATTAGGACAGTTCCATACCACCCATCATCCAAGCAGTCCGTGCTTTGGAGGTTGGTTGAAGAAACAGCCTATGACCTCACTAGATACCAAACTGTCATGGTTCTTGTTTGATTATATGACCACCTTTCATGCAACTACAGGGATAGCACAAGAAAAATTGCTAATGGGTAGAAGACTCCACATCAGGGTAAGTACAATCTTCTTGAACTGGGTTGGGGCATGACAATGGCATCTGGAACTCCAATGCTGAACCCAAGACTCCGCCAAGAAGGAGAGACAGTTTGATGCAGGAGACATTTTGGTGCAAGAATCATGGAAGTGGCCTTGTATGGGTAAGTGGCACGATCAACGTGAGATCAAGACCAGTGACTCCTGAAGTGTGGGTAGGTGTGACTATCCTGAATAAGCAGTTGGACCTTTTGACACCCCCGCAGGAATTGGACACCCTGTGCCTGTGGACTCAGAGGGGGAGGGATGTAATGATTGTAACAAGGTCAACCAGCTGGACCTCATAAGCTCCCTGATTGAACCAGATTAACAGCTCCAATCAGGGAGAGCTGGCTGATATAAAGGGGTGAAATCAGGGAAATCAAACCCCTGAATAGCTGACTCAGGAAGTGACAGTGCTATTGTCAAAGGCTATGCAATTGTGAATAAAGGTTAATTGGTGATGGGATGCCAGCCTCTGAAGAGTTATTTCAATAAGTCTTCTGGCAAGGTCTATTCTCCTAGCTGGAAATGTTCCTTACTTTACAAGATACAAGTTAGCTACTTTTCAATCATGTATCAGAGTGTTCAAAATTTTGCTGCAACACAGGAAATACTATAGTCATGTACATGGTCCTCTGAATTGTACAGCAGACAATGTGAAATCCAAATAAGACCTCAACATCCTTCTTGTATAAATCAAATGTACAGAGGGTGTCCCAGAAATCACCTGTCAATGTGAATCACATTTATGAAGCACTCTTTGAACTCTTGCACAGATGGGAAAGTAGTATTGTCTAAAATGGTAGCAATTCAAAATAATTCGTTGCCAATCATTAGGGTCAGTTTGTTCACACCCTGTGGTATTTTGTAGGTAATAGATTGCCCTCACATCAGCACTTAAAGTTCCACTTATGCTATCTAACTTAATTTGATGGTCTTTTGGAACAGTTATTAAGGAGCATACAGAGAAAGTGCATCATTCCATTGAAGAGATTTCTAATAACCTTCAGCCAATATCAATAGATTCTTTCTTGGTCATGAACACAGCCCTGATCTGAGCTTTAAGAGAATTAATATAAAACTAACGTGAGGTGGTCAGAGCACTTACGTTTTGCACTTAAATGTATTTCCATTTCTTGAAACCTAGATGGCACTACACATCCTTCTGTACTTTTGAATGAGTGAAATAAAATAGCCTTACTGATAAGACTGATAATTGAATACATTTACACCTTTTTATTGACATAAATTTATAAGCAAATTTTACAAACATGACTAGCAAACAAATGGATTAGTTATTGTTATTGGTGGTGGAATGGATATGTGATCAGAGTCTCATCTTACAGTTAACTATATGACATTTAAAATAAAACAAAGAACTATGAATGCTGGAAACCTGAAACAAAAACAAATTGCTGGAGAAACTCAGGAGGTCTGACTGCATCTGTAGAGAGAAAACTGTTCACATTGAGTCCAGTGATACTGTTAATGATAGGTTATTTTGGCAGATGCCATAGATATGAAAACTTCCTATGCTTCTAATAACCTAGCTCAAACTGCACAAACAACATTTCATTTTCTAGTTGTCAGGGAACTTATTTGCATTAGATATGAACATTTTTGGGAACCTGAATAATATGGTAAGGTTCGTTGTATGAAAGTCACCCACCCAGCACTGACAAAAATCACCTAAGGATCACAGAACTGGACCGTCATGTCTGTGCCAGATCTACAAATGGACATCTAACAGAGTGTCGTTCTCCTGTCTTCTCTGCCTAACCATGAACATTGTTCCTTTACATAGCCCTCTAATTCTGTTTTGAATGCCTTGAACTTTTCTCCCAAACACTCTTTGGCAATGAATTCCAGGCCCTAACCATTGATGACGAAATTTTTTTTCACAAATTACTCTTGCTTCTTTAATTATTTTAAATTTATGCCCTGTTCTACTCATGCTTTCGGGAGTAAGAACATTTGTTCCCCATTTACGATTTTGAATACTTGTCAGATCTCTTCTCAATCTTCACTTCAACAAGGAAAACAGTCCCAACCCTCCACCAACCAATCTTCACAACTGTAATTCCTCATCCTTGAAATAATTTTCATAATCATATTTCATACACTCTCCTATGCTGTCAAACCCTTCCAAAAATGTGACATTCAGAAGTACACACAATACTCCTGCTGAGGCTGGACTAGTGTCATACCCAAGTACAACATAACCTCCTGACTCTCATACTTTGTGCTCCAATTAATAAAGCCTAGGATCTGTACACTTTATTAACTGCTCCTTCAACCATTCCTGCCACCTTTTAATGATTTATTCTTCAGCTCCCTCACCTATTTTCGTGATGCACCTTCTTTTTCTATTGTTTCTCCATGTTCTGCCTACTAAAACATCACACTTGTCTACATTGTCCAGAATTATTATTTACAGAGATTTCCCCATGTTGAAGTTAAACTGATTTCTAGTTGCTTAGATTATTCTTATACACTTTTTGGAACAAAGGTAATGTCTGCAATTCTCATTCTCTGATACCACCCCAAAAATAATTGTCAGCGCCTCCACAATGTCCACTCTCACTTCCCTGAATATCCTTAGATATTTAACTGTAAGTAAAAAATGGCCTATCTAATAACACTTCCTTATCAATTTTAAACCCTTAACATTATTGAATTTCTTCTTTTCACCATGGTCTGGGTAATATCAAAGACACAGTGAATATTTTTGTTATCCATTCTCAACAGAACAACTAGTGAATATAATTATTTTGTAACAAGTTAGGAACAAAAACTTAGAATCCAGGATGTACTCCAAAAGCAAAGTACAGGTAACATCAGGGAACTAGTGCCAATTGCCATTTATTTCAACTTTATAACACGTCATTGTTAACTCTGCTGTAATTCTCGTCTCAGACGATTCTTGTAAATAGCAGAAGGGTACCTGGAACAAATCAACAAACGACTGATTCATTACCAGGACATTTCTTTCATGTTCTGGCTCAGATTTTTGACATCAGAGTGGCACTCTGGGAAACCCAAAATTGTGGTTGGAATATCTTCACTGGACCTCCTGAGCTAATGCCCTGTAGATCTAGAGAAGGGAGTACTATAATGCAGGCAATATCAATGATACGTCAATTAATCCAAATTTAGTTAAAACATTGTACAGTAATGCCAGACATGGTTACATTTTGATTCAAAAATTTATGTTGAATGAAGAAAGGTGAAACTGAATGTCCACCACAAATTATATTGAAATGAAGGAAACAATTATTTCAGCCAAATAATTTACTTTATGTTAAAATATAAGACTTTTAAAATCACCTTTTGTTCTTTCTCACTGGAGAGTATAATAACTATCCTGATGAACATATGAACATTGAATAAGATCAGAGATACAATTTGTCCTTTGGGGGAACAGACTGGTGACATTCACGTTCTAAATTTATATAAAGAAGAATACTCTAGGCAAGGAGTCAATAATTTCAGTGAAGTAGTAGGGAAAGAAAGAGACACCAAGGTAAGTTCATTTTAATAGAATGATATTTTCATGGATTTGTTCAGAAGACAGCATTATATCCTGCTTCCTAGTTTAAAGATCCTTAGTCAGCACCTTTCAAACTTATAACCATTATCATCTAGAAGGACAATGGTAGCAGATACATGGGAATACTACCACCTGCTAGTTTACCTCCAAGCCATTCATTGAACTGACTCGGAAACATATCGACGCTCCTTCAATGTCGCTTGGTCAGAATTCTGGAAATCACTCCATAACGGCAGTGCAGACCTATTTATAGCACACGGACTGCAGCGGTATTGCAAAAGGCAGCATCTTTGAAAATTTTTCAGGCAAAAGTAGATTGATTCTTAACAGGTAATGGAGTGAAAGGTTATCCTAGATAGGCAGGAATGGGGAATAATCAGATCTGTCACGATCTTACTGAATGATGCAGCAGGTTTGAACCTTTCTCAGAAACAGTTACAATGGCTCATATCAGCAAATGTGCGTCAGGAATTGGCATCAATGTGTAAGCAAGAGGACATTAAAGAATGCCGTTCACTGACAGCCACTATTGTCCTACCTGGAACATCCATGGGTCTCTTTTTAAGTGTGGTTATGGCGCTGCCATCCTTTCTTCGAAGTAAAGGGCTACTTCTTCTCTCTGCCACTTTCTGTTTTAATCTGGAGCGTACCTTTAAGTTTGGCTCTGACGCTGTTAGATCAAACACCAGAAATTACATTTTGTGACAACAATACTGACCCTTTTTGTATAAAAGTACAGCTCACTGTACAGCAGTTTACTCTGTTTAAAAGACTCTCAAGCAGTGTAAAGGATAATTCTGTAGGGCATGTTCAATTTTTAAATCAGGATATAATAGGTGGTCCATTCTTAAATTTATCCCCCTCCTCTTCTCACAGTGCTGACTCTTTGTTAGTTATAATTCTATCAATTTGCTGCCTCATCTTGTACAAACTGTTTACTACCTGATCTACAACTGATCCTAATCTTATCCGAGGTCTGTACATGTTCACTTTCTGCTAAACCAGGGCACTTAGGGTACAATTTACTGCTGAACTCAGCACATCTTAGCTTTATTCCTTATCATTGGATGAACCTGGCAAGTCATTAAAGGGCTGCAACCATCATATTAATAAGTACTCAGTGTTCCGCAGATTACTGTAATAGGTTACAATGCTACAACTGACTAGCTCTGCAAGAATGTTATAAGAACAGAAAATGCTAAAAATAACAACTCTGGCAGCATCTGTGAAGAAAGAAACAGGATTAACATTTCAAGTAGTGACCCAGCATTTTCTGTTTATATTTCACATTTTGGACATCGACAGTACTCTTTTTGCCTATGGAAAATGTTTGTCTGTCTCTGCTAAGGCAAGTAGCCCACTAACAACAAATATATTCAATGACACAATACTATGATGCTCTTTCAGCAACTAGGAATGACTCACTGATCACAACATGCAAAGTCCATGTGCGTAACCAGTTAACAAAATGCATGTTTAAAATTATGCTAGACTCCTGACGCACGTAGATAAGGGGGAAAAAAAACAGGAATTAAGAGCACAAAGAGACCATTAGAACCAACAAATGCATCACTTTTAAAATGAAAACCTGGCTACTACATTTCAAACCTTTCAGCAAGGTTGAAGGCTTATTACAAAAACCAGCATTAAGCTGCCTCATAACAAAGTTGTAATTTATCTTCGTAGAGCTTTTTTAAAAACAAGCTTTCCCCTTATTTAAAAAAAAATAAAACATCTTCGTGAAATAATCAAAAGGGCTTCTCACTAAAGGAGGTTACAATGAGCCACTCAGTTCTGGATTTTTATGCCTCTTAAGTGCATTTCATGCTTAAAAGCTGTTTTAGACACTTTCAATAAGCTTTGGGTTAAACTGCCTTCTTTGAAATGCTAGATAAGGATTACCCATGTTTTACAGTCCATTTGCAAATTTAGAAATTAATTAGAATTATATTTGTTCTTAAAGCTTAGGTGGTTCAGTCAGTTACTAGATATTAAATTATTGAAAAGAGCTACTTATTAATAATGCAAATTCACCCAAGAAATCTTTGCTTCATTTCAGTTTTAAGTTTACATCCTCGAGCTTTGGACTAGAATTTGGGATTGCTGTAAACCTAATTGTTTAACTTGTTTCTTTTATATTTAATTTTGAGCTTGTAAATTAACTATGTACAAAACGTAAAACGTGAAGCATGAAAATTTCCTAATGTGTACTGTATGAAATCTGTAATTTCAAGTATAGTTGAGATTTTAAGATTTTCTATCATTCACAGTGATTTCTAACTCCATCTCAATTCGCCATGATCTCTCTCCAAATTGGTTTAATCTCTCACTATTGCCAGGGAGAGGAGTGGAGTCAGTAGCTAGAGAGAGATTATGGAACAGTAACCAAAAAAATGGTTTATATTTTAACAATTGTTAATAAGATGATGTTTGCTAGAATGAATGCTGGACATGCAATCTGATAATTTAGCAACAGAGCATGAGACAAGAATAGTGAGGTAGATCAGAATATTACCAGCACACTTGATAACTATTTATGTGCTTTTGAATGACGTTACCCAGGGGAACATGAAAAATAAAGAGACGGTCACTGATTAATCCTTGGGAACACAAGACGTGACATCAGGTTTACAGAGATTGGGAGAGACCAGCCAGGCGTGTATTGGAACAGTCATGTCTGAACGTAGCAAAGACATGACCAAAATATTCAGCAATGGTTTGAGACTGGTGTCAGATGTTGCTATGCATCTTATGGTCAAATATTCTGGAATTTCCTCCCTAAACCTCTGTATCTCACCTTCCTTTATTAAGGCACTTCTTCAAAGTTACTCTTTGACCAAAGCCTTTGGTTATCTTACATAATATTTACTCATGTGATTTGATATTTTGTTTCTTTATTCTCCTGTGAAGTGTCTTGAAATGTTTTATGAAGTTGAAAGTGCTTTTAAGCTGTTGGTATGGTTATACTTTTAACTTAAAAAATCCACATTTCCCATCTTTTCTGAATTTTGCCATATAATAGTTTATCAAGTCAGAGGTAGTTATCTAATTTCAGACAATGTGACAACAAGTCTACAATTGGCACTGGCAACCCTCAGTTAGGGAATAAAAATAGAGGTTCCTATTCCTTGTTATAATCAGTAACTTCTCCAAGTTCAGTCGAATAGGATCAGAGTGCAGGTGTCAGATAATCTGTAACACTCGATGCCAAGGTTGTCATAGTCTTCAGCAAGGTGCCAGAATGCACCTGGTGCTTTCAGACAGTGAATAACAATGCTGTCAAAAGAGGGGTTTGTGAAGAGAGAATAAGCTGGAAGTAAGGTTCAGTAAATTTTCCAAAATATTGCTTCATGCAGAAATAGGACTTTCAGTAATGCAGAGGATAACACACCCAAGTTAAGGTCTCTAAAAATATGAAGATGAGAAAACAGTCTCTTTACACTGTACCCAGATGTTGGAAATACCACTTAGCTCCAGGAGTGGCAGTAGTATTGGCAACTCTGCACTATCCACAGTTGCTTGCTTCTGTTCAGCACTGTTTCTCAACAATGGTATGTGATTTAGTTACACTATCAGCACAAAATGTGGCTTACCCTTCTTTGTCATAAATGCTCCAACATGCTAACTTTATGATCAGGGCAAGTGAAAGAAAAATATTGTTTGGTACCATCAAATTTCTACATTTAGTCATGTAGAGAATTATATTGCTCTAAGAATACTGTAGGGGTTATGAAAATGAGAGTGACTGAACAGTTAAAGGAACAATTGATACAATAAGTCATTAGTCTATTTATATCACTCTATCAAACCATTTTTCCAAGTCCAATAGCAGATAGGGAATTAGAAATGTATTTACACAGTTTACACATCTACATTTTGAGTATAAAATTTCATGTTTAGAGATAATAAATTATCATATTATCCTTTGGCATATGTCTAACAAAAGAATGTGTTTGTCCACCTGTTTGCACCGGAAGAAATACACCACTTCCCACTGAGGGAGTCAGATTCATTGCTTTCAAGATGAGCAGCAATTATTTGGCATTTAAAAATCGTATCATCAGATTAAGTAGCATTTTCGATTTTACGCATCCTACTTTAATTTACATAATTTAGATTCACTTCTAAAATTGTACTTACCCCACCCCCAGAAATCAAACAATGAAATCAATCTCATTGATGTTCAGTAAGTACCTTTATAACTTCCTTTGTAAAATGCTCAGCAAAGTAGCAGTGAAAATGAGTATCTCTCACTTCAAACTCAGATTCGAATTTATAATTTAAACCAAGAATTGTTTGTTTCCCATTGTTCACTTAGTATTTCAGAAGTACAGCAGTTTACCTAAAATAGGGGCAGTAATATTTTTGTTCACTTTTGCATTCATTGTCTGAGATAAATACAGTTAAGACGGTGCTGTTCTAGGTGTAATGCCAACATTGTCACACCATAACTTGCTGGACAGAAAAGTACTTCACGCTCCATTGTCCACCTGTGGAAAAGCCTTTTATTTATTCATTCATGGGATGTGGGCATCTCTGGTTGGGTCAGCATTTACTGCCCATCTCTAATCGCCCAGAGAACAATTAAGAGTCAATGAATTGCTGTGAGCCTGGAGTCACATGTAGGCCAGACCAGGTAAGGATGGCAGTTTCCTTCCCTAAAGGATATTAGTGAACCAGAAGGATTTTTCCGACAATTGACAATGGATTCATGGTCATCTTTATACTCTTAATTCCAGATATTTAATGAATTCAAAGTCTATCATATGCCATGGCAGGATTCAAACTTGGGTCCCCAGGCCATTACCTGGGTCTCTGCATTAACAATCCAGCAATAATACCACTAGGCTATCACCTCCCAATAAAACTTGCTTTACATTCACCAGGAAATGAGGGAGAGTGGCGTTTGTGAATTGTATTGACATTATTCTGAACTTTGAATACTGAACAGGATACCCCATTGTGCATTGTTGCACTTTGTTGCTCATGCCTTACTGTCTCGGATTCATTCATCAAATTCCTGTGTTCATGTGTTATCCTTGCATTTATAATATAGCAAATATTAGGAAGCTATGAATGAATAATCATATTTAAATAGAATCACTCTGCCTGAGCTTGATATCAAAGGAATCTTCATCTACTTTCAAATTATAACATTACAAGAGCTCATTATCAAAAATCTATGCATTTTCAAAATGGAAAAAATACAGCTGAAAAGCAAATGAGTTCCCTTTGGAAATCTTTGAAGGAATTTGTGACTCAGTTCTCAATATTTAGAAATAACTAAACTTTAACATAAAATGATCTGTGCCATTATAAACGTTCAGATAACCATACTTGAAATTGAGTCAGAATGAAAGAATTCTATTCAACCAAGATCTGTAACCTCATGGCTCGGCATATTCCCCATGCTACTGTTACCACCAAGCCAGAAGATCAACCCTGTTCATTGATAATTGCAAGAGTGACAGACAATTAAACAACCAACAGAAGGTGGACATTTCACAAAATTGCCAACCTCAATAGTGGAGGAATCCAGCACATCAGGATAAAAGATAAGGCTGAAGCACTTGCATTGATCTTCAGCCAGAAGTGCAGAGTACATGACCCATGGACACATGCACAACTCCACAGATACAGAAGTGTTGTTATGACCCCAGATTATGTTGT